ATTATCGTATCGTGCAGGGTATCAGTTCCTTATTATTGAGGGGTTTCATCAATTACAACCAAAAACATTGTGTAGGGTATCAGTTCCTTATTATTGAGGGGTTTCATCAATTAAAACCAAAAACTAAATCTAACCTTTTCACAATACATTCTCATGGAAGGAGCACGGCTAAGGTATAAAAAATAACCTACATACCCCTTTCTCCTTATTAAATAAGCCACGCATGGTAGACCCATTAATTACAACATCCGGCAACAGTAGCAAACACATTTAAGTGGATTGGTTCTGTTGTTTCTCCCATATGCTTAGAATCTTGTCATTGTTGTGTATTACTGGATTGTGATTCAAGATGTCTCTTCTCTCAAGGTAAAACTTAAAGAATTTGTTATATTATTGTAGAATCGTTATTGTTTTGGTTTTTAACGAGGTGTTTGGTGATGCAGAATCTTCCATTTGTTTGTTGAACAATTAAGTATTGTTGTTTTTTCTGATAAAAGTTTTTTTCTTATTTAAGCATTGTACTTTGAAAGTAAAATGCTATAATACAAGAAATTGTGTATGCTTGTGCAGATGGTTTAGTGTGTGTTAGGTGGATAACAGAAAAGTAAATAAATAAAAAGGTATATTGTAGGGAATAAAGCATGCATATTGAAGGGCATCTTGCATATGTAGTGTATGATCTACTCATCTACCATTGAATGTGTTAATAGATAAGGTGCAACTCTAAGTCCTTTAAGATTTGGTATGATTGGAATTATTAATCTTCTCTTTTAATAAATGACTCCTAGATATGCCACATGTCCTTTTTTTACACCTTTTCCTTGCCACGTGGCATGCTAATATTCACTAGCTGCTTTGATTTCCCGCTCTTTTACACTCCATCATTATAGATAACAATAGTAACAATTATCCCAATCAATCTTTGTAGCCATGATACGTATCCCAAAAAATTAGGCTAGAAATTTGAATATCATAAATTAGTCAAGAAATCAGGATTCTAATCATATCTAATCGTGCATTTTTTCTATACATACCATTTCAACATTTTTTTAGTGAGGATCTATTTCTATTAATTATGTTGACAGGGAGCATTCTCTTAATCTTTTAAACAATGACCATTTATGTATTGTTTTTAAACAAGGGCCATTTATGAATTTATTATAAACAATGACCATTTATCAATTTATTCTAAACTGGGACCATTTATGCTTTTATTTTCCTGACCACAAGAATTATTTCTGTTATTTTTCTTAAGCATGGTCCATTACAAATCCCTATTATACAAATGTATTTTTCATGTACAATGCTATAATTAGAATTTCTTCAAATTTCCTTCAAATTGTTAACAATATTAAATCTGGAATAATATTTGTTTGATTCTTGTTGTGTATGTTGCTATTTATTTTTAAAGAAATAAAACAAATATTCATTATACGCAATGTACTTTCCAAGTACAATGCTATATTTTGGATTCCTTCAAATTATTTACAGTATTAAATTTTGATTGATGTTTGTTTACCCATGTTATAAAACTAAAATTCTTTTAATTATTTATAACCTTTATGTAGTTATTATAATTTTTTAAAACTTTACGAGCATAGATGTAGAACAATATCTCTAGTCTTTATAATCCGTCATTTTGAAAGCGTCATCTCATTTTCCCCACACATAATAAATATGCAGAATCTAAATAATAATTACATTAATTTATATGGGAGATCAACCCTAGTTGGTCAAAAGATTACCATAGCCAAAGGGTATTTTTGAGATTTTCACTAATACTCAAACATTGATAAAACAATTATTGTAGACAACAAACTAAATTTATCCAAAAATTTTGGGTCTTTTGATTACTCAATGTGTGGAAAAAACAAAAGTAGCAATGCACACTCTGATTTTCCACACTTAATTTAAAAAAAAACGTCTTTTTTTATTACAATGCTTTTTTAAACAAGGAACTAAATCTGTTACTATTTAACAATATATTTTATTTTAATTTATTTTGTTAATATCAAGATAATATTTATATCACAAACAGAATTCAATTTTGATTAAAATAATAAATTTATTTCATTTTATTTTCTTATTTGGTTTAAACAAACTACAAGTACATTCAACTTTATATATTATTTTTTTTAATTTAGAATTAATGATTTTTTTATTAAACTTTACTTCATTATTTGTCAAACAAGAACATGGATAGATTAAAAAAAATGCCCCAACATCATCTTCTCAGCATATATCTACTCCACACGTTATTTATTTGAACCAAAATGGCGATTCTTATATTTTATTTTACATATGTAATATTTTTTATTTATTTATCAACTTTTATGGAGTAATGTCTATCATTATATCATCAAATTATTATGTAAAAATATATTGACTGGAAAATCTTTTCTTGTATGCTTCTACAAAACCTTTTATTATGTGTTTTACAAATTATAAAAGATAAACCAATACAATGCAATCATCAACATTTAACATCTACAAATAACTCCGGAACTGTTACATTTGATAAGGAAAACATCAACTTAGATAAATTATATGTATATCAACATACAAATATTCATTCTCCTTCTACAAATATTAATCTAATATTTCAAATGGTACAAATTTTTATACACATATTTTTTCAAAATATATAGGCGAATAATAATCCCGTACAAATATATGATTAATATTGTGTTTTTTAAAGTTTCAATGTTGTTTTACTTTGTCAACCGTGTAGTACACGGGTTAATAACGTAGTAATATAATATAATATAATATAATATAACAATATATTAAGAAAACATAAATGAACATATTCAAATAAGAATAATTGAACTTATACACATGTACGTAAACAAAAGAATTTAAATGAATATTTATGAATGTAAATAAATGAACTACAACATTGTTTGTGTTTGTTTGTTTAACTAAACGTACAATTTTTTTGTTCTTCTTCGTTCAATTATTAAATGAAACAAATTTTCCATCTAACAGCTAACTAATAAGTCGTTGAATGTTTGTACTTTGTACAACCATATTATTGGTCTTTAAAAACATATAAAATTCAAAGATTCAACCAAAGTATTATGTATATAGCAAGAGGTCTCAAATCATCATTTTCAAAAAATCATCAATATAAAAGTTTACTTTAATCCAGTCTTTTGGAATTGGACATATATAAGGAGTATATTCATATCAGATTCATCATGGGAGATAGAATAAGGAACGCAGGAAAGTCATGGATGGGGAGTAAGAGCAACAAAAGTTTTAGGAGTTGATAGGAAAGACAAGAACCAGGGAAATCAATACTAAAAGAACGATCGGGGATGTGACAAAAAGAATAGTGCCTTGTTGTGTTTTTGAGTTTATGGGTTTAATAATATTAACTTTTATCCACTCAAAATGTGATAATCATAGATAAAGGTTTTATCAATGTGGACTAGCATACTTGATAGAGGCTTTGCCTCTTAAATTAAAAGTTGCGGGTTCTAATCCGGGCATAAACAAATTCTACTAACTTGGGGATACTCACTGCTAACTATTAACCAGTTGTTATATATATATATATATATATATATATATATATATATATATATATATATATATATATATATATGATTTTAAAATTTTTGGAAGTATTTTGGTCATATCACACTACTGGGTGGTGACTAGTGTTGTTCCAAGCCAATTTGAGTTCCCAGACAAAAAAATAAAAAATAAAACCCTTATAGTAGAAAAAATTAGTAAAGGATGGTGGCTTTTGTGTGTATGTGTGTGTGTTTTAATAAAAAAAATTAGACCCTTGTTATAGATTTCTCCTTAGATCATTTTTGTAATAGTATTAGTTTTCTTGTTTTGTTTTTTTCTTTTCTCGCCACAATATAAATATTTTCTAATCCAAATGTTATTTTTTTAAAAACCTATAAAACAATAACAAAAAAGCAAGTAAAGTTAACGAAAACACTTAGTTGTAAAGTGGTGATGTTGAACCGTTTTCAAAATCTTTTTCCAACAACAAAGATAATGATTTTTGAAACGTTTGCTCGGCCCAACAACAAGGGATATAATGATTTTTGAATCGTTTGCTAGGCCCAACAACAAGAGTTTCAAAACTTGTGATATTGAAGTTTCAAGTTATCTAAAAAAAATCAAGTAAATTAACTTTTTATCATAAAACTAACATAAAAGATGTGAAAAACTATAACAAAATCTTATAATTTACATGAATCAGAAATTATATTAACACGAATGGAAAATCAGATTAAAACAAATCGGAATCAGAAATCAAAATCGGTAAGGTTGCCTAAAATCAGATTAACACGAATAGAATATCAATTTTTATGAATGATGCATGAAATCAGATTATCATAATCGATGAATTAGGAAAGATTGAATTAGAAAACAAAAAACAAAAATTCAAAAGGCTATGTAAAAACTAGAAGCGATTTATTATGAATCAATTTTTTTGTTAGTGTATTGATTCATAGAGTCTCGCGATCGATAGTGGTGAGATGCTTAATGTGATGATTATTCCAAAAAAATTATACATCCCTAAGTCTTCATTATTTATTTTGTTTCGACTCTATTTTCTTTTATTTTTCTGCTACGCTACACATGATATACTATTATTTTTTTATATATATTAACATAATAAGGTATATAAAAATGGGGTCCCTAGAAATTTAGAGGCTCTAAGTCATCGTCTATGCCCATTGACACCACCGTAACGGCGACGGTATGCTTTGCGTGATATCAAGCTACTTGGTAACGAAAACAAGTTAAGGTAGCATAACTGGAAAAAAAAAATGTAACTTTGGTGATCAATTTTGGACAACAATACAAAATCATGTTCTATTTATACATTATCCATAGTATTATAGATGAATCTTTTATAAAATACTTAGACAAAAAAAAAGACTAAATTTTAATTAATCTATCTGATCAAATCAAAACTCAATCTGAATCAACAAGTAGAATTTAAAAAAAAAAAAAAAAAGGGCTGATGACTAAAATGGCTTCAGATTCGGATTAAACTCAGCCGCAGAAGAAGATGGTCCACCATCCTCTTCGTTCCTCTGTGGAGTAGCCGACCGATCGCCTTCAACCTCTCTATATCTATCTAAATACCTCTTCAATGGTGGAGCATATTCATCAAAACCTAGTGTGCCAATAGCCCAGCACACATCATCACCATTTACTGTCTTCCGCCGCTCCTTTTTGCATTTCTCAGAGGCCTCGCCAGTGACGAAGCTAATGAACTCAGAAGCACACTCTTGAATAGTCTCCTTGGCCTCTTTGGAGATCTTTGCATTTTTTGGGAGTATCTGCTTCATGATCCGGCCGACGTTGGCAATTGGAAGTAGCCTTTCTTGCTGATTTGCAGTGTCGTCGTCGCCGGCAGAGAACTTATTCGTGGAATCATCCATCAAATTTGATGCTGTCCAAGACGTATTGACATAGAAATGCAATGTATGGTCAACCACCGAGTCCGATGCAAATGTGTATATATTAGGGCAAGTTGGTTTGCATGTCAGCACTACTTCACAACTGTTGGATCAAACTTTTATATATCTGATGGTTGTAATGTACTCTCAAAAAGTCCAAGTCACAGGAAGCAACTAATTATGTATGACAATGAATTATATATATATAATATATATATATATATATATATTATATATATATATATATAATATATAATATATATATTAGATATATATATATATATATAAAAGTTAATTTAAAACCACTATATTTTATAAGACATGGGACGCACTCCGATCCATTTATTTTGAAGATAAAAAAATATTTTTAAAATACAAAATAATTGAAAATTTTCAAAAAAAAATATTTACATATTATTTTCGTCATTTATATTTTACAAAAAAAAAAAGAAATTACCACTTTTTTGAAATATCAGTAAAATATTCTAATAGAATATTTTAGCATAAAATTACAACAAAATTGTTAGAATATTCAAAAATTATACTATAATATTATACTATAAATATTCAAACAATTCTAATATAATATTAGAATATTCTATAAATTCTAATAACTTTAATAGAATATTATAATATTTTAACACATTTAACAAGTCTAGTAGAATACTAAAATATTCTAACATTTAAAAAATTACATTTGAATATTTACACTAAATATTCTATTAAAATATTTCACATATATTTCAAAAAAAAAACAGTAATTTTTTTTTGGTAAATAAAATGACGAAAATAATAATTAAAAAACGAAATTTCAGATTATTCATTTTATTTTGAATTTTAGATTTATTTTTTTTATTTTTCGATTTTAAAGATGACTGACTAGGATCACGTCCCTATGTCTTATAAAATTAACATTGTTTCAAATGAAAATAAACTTATTCATTTATTAGAATACGATATATATATATATATATATATATATATTATATATATATATAGATATATATAGATATATATATATATATATATATTACCATGGAACCCATGGGTATTAAATTTTAAATAGAATTAAAAAATTGATTATGTAATAAAATAATATATCATTAATTTAGAAAAACTTATGAATTGTAATATTTTATAAAAGTAATGAGTTTGTATAATGTAACATATTATCTGTTTTGGAACTTTATACTTATTAAATACATGGAAGTTGTGACGTACTCACAAGACAAGCACGCGGGTTGTAAAAAAATATTTATTCTTATTAAACCCTTACTTTTGGTGCATGATTCTTGGGAAGAAAAAATGTTTTGTCGGCTAAAACGTCACTTTTCCCAATGTAACTTACCACCCCAATAAATCTTCAAGTCCACTATCTCAATCACTCCTCGTTTTCATTCCACGGTAGAGAAAAAAACATTCATTCATAATTTGAAATCGCAATAACTAATAAAATATTTGCAATTTTTTTTTATTAATTTACAAATATACTATTGGTATAGGGCAACAAATGAGCATAAAGGAACAAATGAAATAAAATGTAAATAAGGTTGAAATAATAAAATACATGTATTATTTCAAGCATTTATCTTAATGACAATATTTTAAGCATTTATCTTAATGACATCTGAAAAATCATTATACATTTATATTTGTACTTCAAAAAAGGTCAACTAAAAATGTGCAGTGAAAAGAACTCAACAATGAAATGTACCTAAAAAATTAGGTTACAATGCCTCTAAATCAATCGCCAATCCATTTGTAGGTGTAATAAATACAAAATTATGGACCTTGCTTTTGAACCATCAGATGTTGAGCATGACCCTATCAAGTTTTACATAACCTTTGACATCAGTTTATAATAAATGAAAAAAAGATAGGTACTTTCTTCATATGTTTAACAAACAATCCTATTTTAATTTCGTTGAATTACAACCTTGAAACTTGAAGGAGATATCAATTATATGTCTGTCCAAATACAAAGAAGTTCTTGTTTTTTATTATTCAACAAACTTTTCAATTTATGATGTTCTAATGATTAAAAAATTAAAAACAAAAAGCTATAATTGGGTTCATTTTATAGAGTGCATATTAATAAGTAAAACTAAATGAGAGGACAATCCTATAGTTTGTAATTCTTTAAAATCAGGTTGCACCCTATCTTTCCTCGCCAAGACTTCCTAACAATGTCCAGATCTATAGGTCTCACTTCATAACCAAACCTTTTGCACATCACCTTTTGAAGAAAATGTTATCAAATCAACAAACCCATCAAATAAAGAGAAACCCAACTGAGGGCCCAGTATATGTGTTATGTGTATGGTATGTGGTAGTATGGGGAACTGAATAAGCTTCGTGCTTACGATTTTCAGTTTTGGTTTCAGGTACTTCCAGTTGCAGAGAGAAGAGCTCGGGATGACTGTATTGCACACACCATGATGTTTTAGCCTGTGATGTTTACTCTGATGTTTTGTTTTGGAAACTCTGATAATAATGTTTTGAGATAACTTGACTTATATTTTGATGGATTGTTTTGATAACTATGGTTTTATTTAATGATTTAAAACGAAATTTTTGGACCGTATTTTATGGGTGTTTCAAGTTGGTATCATAGCCTTGGTTTGGGGGATTCGGACACACCCTTGGGTGTGTCTGAACTCAAACTGAGGACTTGGTATGAAATTTTTCAAAAAGAAAATCATTTCTATAAAAAGGATTTCAAAAGGAGAAAAGGATGTGGTGCATGCAATCAGCCGAGCTCAATTAAGTTCTCCTAAATTACCCGTACAAGTTTATGTTATGATATGAATTGTGAATATGTGAATTGCATGCTAGATTAGGGCTAAAGATCTAGGAAGGATGCATTATATGCCTACTGTATGTGCTTATTTAACTGCATGCCAGTACTGATTAGTCAAAGATATGATGGCCTATTTAGGATATGCTTGGTTTTGGTTACTCAGTGCTCGAATGATGCTTGCTTTGTGCTTTTAGGAGTTCTAGTTATCTTTAATTAACTAGTAAATGAATACTTTAAGTTACATATTAAGAGGACTAAATAATTCCAGAAGGTTAGGTCTAGCCCTATTTCGCTGCTCTTGTCTGAGTCCAACCGTTGTGGGGTAGGACCTCTCATTCGAAGAATTATCTGGTCTTAGTAATATGTAATAGTATTCGCGAGCTAGTTAGGGAAAGGTAGTAGGGACTTCTTATGCAGCTGATGGCAGAGAGTGGGATTGGAGATTACCCTAGGGTAAGCCTAGGATAAGATTAGTGTTGGGAACGAAATTAGTGAAAGGGAATTGGTGAAGTCAAGGCAATTCTTGAGGAAAGTACGGATAGATGTAGAAAGTAGTATGTGCCTATACTACTGAAAGCAGAAGATCCGTCCTCGAGTCAAGGAGGGCTGAGATAAAACCAGGGAGCTTGTAGTGTGTGTGATCCCATGATTTATGATGACTATTCTGATGATTGTTATGGTATGTATAACATCCCAAAAATCATGACCAAAAATTTTCATTTTGAAATATAATACTTATAAAACCATTTGTCTAAAAACAACCATAGTATCAATTCATATCAAAATCAGAGTATCAATAGTCAAGTCATATCATGATAAAACCATGTCAGAGTACAAATCCCAGAAATCTCATATGCAGAAAATCGTGTGTGTGCGATGCGCTGCTACTATGCCGGCTCATTCCCCTTCGCTGAAGAGGTACCTGAAACAAAACTGAAAACTGTAAGCACGAAGCTTAGTGAGTTCCCCATCATACCACATACCATAAACATATACTGCCTATCCATCAATATCTTTCAACCGGTATCTGACTGGCTTAATCAGAAGCTGGAATTCCCTTTGGTATCTTCCAACCGGTAGCCGGGAGCTGTTCTCCCCTTCGGTATCTTCCAACTGGTAACCGAGAGCTGACCTCCCCTTCGGTATCTTTCAACCGGTAACCGGGGACTATTTAACCCCTACCACTACCACATAAGAACATATCATGAACATACTACTAGACATGCGTGGGTTCTGACGACCCCTTCGGTATCATTCAACCGGTAACCGGGACGAATCCCCCTACTACCACTATCACATATATCACATCATGATAATCACATAAAACATATCAGGTAGTAGCAAGCCTAGATAATTTTCACAAAAGACAATCATCTATCAACTAAATCCTACTAGTGGGCTGGCATTGTGGCCGTAGACCCACTGCTACTGGAAGGTAACTCACCTCGATGTCGTGAAGTGTCTGAACTGTCCTTGCTGCCGGGATCAACTCCTCTCAATTCTTACACGTAACAACCTTTCTTAATATACAATTACATACTCTCAACCCTTACAATGGTTACTCAGGTCAAAGCCAAAGTCAAGGTCAACACCTTGGTCAAGGTCAACTTTGGGTCAAAGTCAACGTCTGGTTGACTCGACTCGCCGAGTTGACCCAGCAACTCGCCGAGTCCCCAAATCCTCAAAACACTAAGACCTCGATCCTACTCGCCGAGTCTTTCACGCACTCGTTGAGTTCTACTTCATGCAAAGTCGGGACCTTCAATAACTGACTCGTCGAGTTCATCCTTGAACTCGTCAAGTCCTTCTTCATGCAAGAAGGCATATTTAGCCATGGACTTGCCGAGTTCCTTATGAACTTGTCGAGTACGTCTTTATGCAGTTGGGACTTGCCTTAAACTCGTAGATTTCCATGATTTCCAGATCCAGATTCACATCTATCCTGTTGAGTCCTTTCCTAGACTCAACCAGTTTGATCAAAGCAAAAAAGAGGTTGGGGAACCATACCCCGACTCGTCGAGTCCCATGAACGACTCACCGAGTCCCCCAAAGTCCATGTCCATACAATTGATTTCAGTCGGGTTTAACACATCCAAAACATAGATCTAGCCTCCTAGGGTCCATAATACACGTAAAGTTAAAAATTTGACGTTCATGCATGGGGTATTTGGCTCAAATGGCC